GAGGTCTGCCGCGCCATGTGGTCACCTCCGGCGCAGGCGGGGATAGAACTCATGCAGAGGTGGCTTTAGTTTCTCAGTGCAGTGCTTTAACCCGCTGCGCCACAAGGGAGGGCCCTCTCCTTTCTCATCTTTTTAAGTAATACTTTTGAAGACAGAAGTTTGGGTTCTGCATTAGCTCCTAAGTCTTTTTATCCTGAACATTGTTTGATCTGTCAATATTTTAAAATGACATTTTGCTGTTATTGCATGTTATCTAGGAATTCCAATTAAAAGCACATTAGTCCTTTCATCGTAATGACGTCATTAGGAATGGATGCCACTCACTTCCTCTCTCATTGTTACAGGACATTCACCTAATCCACAGATGACCTCCATGGAGAATAGTACCAGGGTGACTGAGTTCATTTTTGTGGGGATAACTGATAACCCAGACCTGCAGATCCCCCTCTTCTTCATATTCACGCTCATCTATCTCATCACGCTGATTGGGAACGTGGGGATGATCATGTTGATCCTCGTGGATTCCCTTCTCCACATACCCATGTACTTATTCCTTGGTAACCTTTCCCTGGTGGACTTAGGTTACTCCACAGCTGTCACTCCCAAAGTGATGGCCCAACTCCTTATTGGAAGCAACGTCATTTCCTACAGTGAATGTGCAGCTCAGATGTTCTTTTTTGCAGTCTTTCTCACCGTAGAGAATTTCCTCTTGGCTGTGATGGCCTTTGACCGCTATGCAGCAGTGTGCAAACCTCTGCATTATGCCACCATCATGACCACAGGCGTTTGTGAGTATCTGATAATAGGCTGCTATGTCCTTGCTTTCCTGACGGCCTCCATCCACACCGGGAACATATTCAGCCTGTCTTATTGTAGATCCAATGTGATTAATCACTTTTTCTGTGATGCTCCTCCAGTGCTGGCTCTGTCCTGCTCAGACATCCACAGAACTGAGTTAGTTGTGTTTATTTTTGTGGGCATTGATGTTACAATATCTAATGTGGTCATTGTGGTCTCCTACCTGTTCATATTTGTCACCGTTCTGAGGATGCACTCCTCGGAAGGTCATCAGAAGGCCTTCTCCACCTGTGCATCCCATCTCACCGCCATCTCCATCTTCTACGGGACATCCCTTTTCATGTACTTAGAGTCAAACGCCAGCCACTCCATGGGCAGTGACAAACTGGCCTCTGTGTTCTATGCCATAGTCATCCCCATGCTGAACCCATTGGTCTACAGCCTGAGGAACAAAGAGGTTAAGAGCGCCTTTAAGAGAACTGTGGGAAAGGCCAAGTCTTCCATAAGACTTATATTTATACATGTATAGAATCAACAGTAAGTCATCTTCATGCAATTTAGGTGTACCCAAAAAAATACTGACTTTCATAATCAACAATATTTAGCATCCTAAATTATGTCCCTCTGACGTGTAGGAAAAGCAGCTTGAGAAGAATCAACCATGAGTCTATCATTCCTATCTTCAACTTTTATTTAAATATATTTTATTACTTCTTTATGTATAGAATTAACCACTCTCCCAACTGTATATTTACAGATTTACTATCACAACTATGTTTAAGTACATGGCCAGAAGCACCTCATTAGGGAAACCTGTGCAAATCACACATGCATGAATAAGTTGAGAAATGATTTCAAAAAATAAATTAAATCAATATAATTTTAAAATGTAACTTAATGATTCTAGTATCTCTAAATGCATTCCTTGATGTAGCTATAATTTTTGATAGCCTATCCCTTATGCTTGTGTTTTTAACTAATATTGTAATTGGTGTATGTTAAAATACTTTAACACTTAAAGTTGGTGTCTACCACCCTGAATATTGAGTTATTACTACGTTTTTACTTATTTTGTTCTTTTTTTTCAGTGATAGTGATTGTGATTACATGTTCATAGTTATTGGGCTAGGTTTTCATTTTTGTTGAATCAATATCCAGAAGTAAAAATTTCACATCCTAATTTTAATTAGAAAAATTGACAGTAGAATAAGAAAAGGGAAACAATATCTAAAGCATGTTTTCATTCCTTGAAAACAATCACAACATTTACTTTTAAAGTAAGGATGGACCCCTGTGTCCTCCCTGCTTATCCTGGGATGCATTTCATGTTCCCTCCTCATTTCTGTTCTTAAGTCAACACTCAAAGGTCACTGTTCAGGCTCAAATAGGTCAATCTGATCAGTCCTTTACAATCTCTTAACCTTACCAACTTTCTATTTTGATATATAATGCTTTAGGGGCCCCTCAGAGATATGCTAACAATGATAGAGCTGCTTTCAATTAAAGAAATGTATTATTTTACTGAATCTAAAACATGATATATTTGAATGATCAATAGTTCCCATGTTGGCTTTTTTTTTTTTTTT